CTCTTGTGTTTTTGGGGCTTGTTTCCCAAGTCCTTGGCAGTGTCACCTGCCTGGCTTTAGCCAAGGAAGAGTGGGCTGTGGCTGGCTGTGTAAAGTAGCCCTTTGAAGCAGGGGGCTGCACCCTGCCTCGCCTTGTACTGAGTGGTTGGTGTGCCCAGGCTGGAGCCCAGAGGTCAGGAGATGTCCTCTGTGTGTTCTGCTGGTCTCTGTTGGGCTGTGCATCACCCTGGGATGGCCCCGAAAATGACAGCTGCTTTCTGTCCTCTCCCACCAGCTCTGCCGTGTTCCAGCAGCCGGTGATCTTCCTGGGAGCCGACGTCACTCACCCACCGGCAGGAGATGGGAAGAAACCCTCCATCACGGCTGTGAGTGCCCGGGGGGGGCTGGCCCTGGTGCCCCAGAGCCCTGCAGGGACACAGGGCTGGAACGGGATTCCTGTGTCCGCAGTGGGGCTGTCCTGCTGCTGGGTGACACTTCTTGGGGTGGCCCTGTGCCTTACTGGGTGTTTTGAGCCAAATCCCAGGGTGCTGGGTCCCTGATCCCCTCCTGCTGCTCTTCAGAGGAGCTGTGTTTTTGGGGAGCTACTGGGAGGAGAGCTGGCAGCAGCCAGCAGATGGGGCTGGTGATGTGCTGGACCCAAGACTGGGCGTGCTGGGAGCTCGGTCATCCCTGGGCAGCCCAGTCCTGCAGCATCTCTGGGAGGAGAGACCTTCCCCAGGTGGCAGAGCTGGCGTTTTGGAGGTGTGGGAGGGAGCTGGGGCAACTGGGCTGCTTCTGAGCCTTCTGGGGAGGAGGGTTTGCCTTCACCTGAAATGAATGGCCGGCGTCCATCGAGTGCCCTGCTGCTCCATGCCCAGGAGGCCGGGCAGCAGCTTGTGCCCTTCCTCGGGCTGTGAGATGCTGCCTTGTGCCAGTCACAGTGACAGAGAGTGTCAGGTTCTTGTAGCCGCTGTTTTAATTAAGCACGTCAGCATTTTCCTATTAAGTTCTTGACTTTCCAGGACTCATAGCTCAGGTTTTCCTTGGCATGCAAATGCATCTTTGAAGGACTGTTTTTTTTCTTAATTAGAAGAGGTTGGGAAATGTGTTTGGCTGTTGGCTGTAGGTGTGGGTGGGACAGAGCAGTCTGCTTCCTGGCGGCAGCACTTCCCCTCTGCAAACGTCTTCTGTGGGTGTTTTGTGCAGGACCACTCTGGGGTTTTTTCCTTAATTTTTAGGAAGGCTTTTTTGAAGCTGCAGGGGGAGAGGGTGGGGCAGCCTTGATCTTGTCCTTTGGTGCATTGTTTGTTGGGCAGTGAGAGGCACGGGGGCCGTGGGCTCTGTGGCCCTTCCCTGCTGCTCAGGGCTGTGGCACAGCCCTCACCCTGCCATGCCCCCAGCCCTATGTCAGCACCAAGCCCAGCTGCTCTCGGCCACCTCATCCCTGGCATCTTTGGGGTGTCCCCTCCAGAGCCCCCGGCTGCGACAGGAGCTCCCCGCTCGCGGTGACTCAACCCACGTGTGTCTGGGGCAGCTCTGGTGCCCACGGCTGAGCCTGGGCAGATGTGAGGCCGTGGTGCTGGCAGATGCTCTGTGCAGATGGCCTTCCAGGGGATGTCAGAAAGCTGGGGACAGAGTTTTTAGCGGGGCCTGTTGCAACAGGACAAAGGGTGATGGTTTGGAACTAAAAGAGGGAGATTTGGACTAGATGGAAGGAATTTTTAGTGCTGAGGGTGGTGAGCCCCTGGCCCAGGCTGCCCAGAGAGGTGGTCGATGCCCCATCCCTGGAACCATTCCAGGTCAGGATGA